AGGAGCAGCAGCAACAGGAGCAGCAGCAACAGGAGCAGCAGCAACAGGAGCAGCAACAGGAGCAGCAACAGGAGCAGCAACAACAGCAGCAAGAGCAGCATCAACAGGAGCAGCAGCAACAGGAGCAGCAACAGGAGCAGTAACATCAGCAGCAACAGCAGCAGCAACAGCAGCAGCAACAGGAGCAGCAACAGGAGCAGTAACAGCAGCAGCAACAGCAGCAGCAACAGCAGCAGCAACAGGAGCAGCAGCACACAGAGCAGTAACAGCGGCAGCAACAGGAGCAGTAACAGCAGCAGCAACAGCAGCAGCAACAGGAGCAGCAACAGGAGCAGCAGCAACAGGAGCAGCAACAGGAGCAGCAACAGGAGCAGCAGCAACAGGAGCAGCAGCAACAGGAACAGCAGCAGCAACAGGAGCAGCAGCAACAGGAGCAGCAACAGGAGCAGCACCAACAGGAGCAGCAACAGGAGCAGCAACAGGAGCAGCAGCAACAGGAGCAGTAACAGCAGCAGCAACAGGAGCAGTAACAGCAGCAGCAACAGGAGCAGTAACAGCAGCAGCAACAGGAGCAGCAACAGGAGCAGCAACAGGAGCAGCAACAGGAGCAGCAACAGGAGCAGCAACAGGAGCAGCAGCAACAGGAGCAGCAACAGGAGCAGTAGTAACAAGAGCATCAACAGGAGCAGCAACAGCATCACTAACAGGAGCAGCAACAGCATCACTAACAGGAGCAGCAACAGCATCACCAACAGGAGCAGCAACAGCATCACCAACAGGAGCAGCAGCAACAGGAGCAGCAGCAACTGGAGCAGCAGCAACAGGAGCAGCAACAACATCACCAACAGGAGCAGCAGCAACATCACCAACAGGAGCAGCAGCAACAGGAGCAGCAACAGGAGTAGCAACAGGAGCAGCAACAGGAGCAGCAACAGGAGCAGTAACAGGAGCAGCAACAGGAGCAGCAACAGGAGCAGCAACAGCAAGGAGCAGCAACAGGAGCAGCAACAGGAGCAGCAACAGGAGCAGCAACAACAGCAGCAACAGCAAGCAGGAGCAGTAACAGGAGCAGCAACAGGAGCAGCAACAGGAGCAGCAACAGGAGCAGCAACAGGAGCAGTAACAGGAGCAGCAACAGGAGCAGCAACAGGAGCAGCAACAGGAGCAGCAACAGGAGCAGTAACAGGAGCAGCAACAGGAGCAGCAACAGGAGCAGCAACAGGAGCAGCAACAGGAGCAGCAACAGGAGCAGCAACAGGAGCAGTAACAGGAGCAGCAACAGGAGCAGCAACAGGAGCAGCAACAGGAGCAGCAACAGGAGCAGCAACAGGAGCAGCAACAGGAGCAGCAACAGGAGCAGCAACAGGAGCAGCAACAGGAGCAGCAACAGGAGCAGCAACAGGAGCAGCAACAGGAGCAGCAACAGGAGCAGCAAGAGGAGCAGTAACTGGAGCAGCAACAGGAGCAGCAACAGGAGCAGCAAGAGGAGCAGCAACAGCAGCAGCAACAGGAGCAGCAACAGGAGCAGCAACAGGAGCAGCAACAGGAGCAGCAAGAGCAGCAACAGGAGCAGCAAGAGCAGCAGCAACAGGAGCAGCAAGAGCAGCAGTAACAGGAGCAGCAAGAGCAGCAGTAACAGGAGCAGCAAGAGCAGCTGTAACAGGAGCAGCAAGAGCAGCTGTAACAGGAGCAGCAAGAGCAGCAGTAACAGGAGCAGCAACAGGAGCAGCAACAGGACCAGCAACAGTGAGCAACAGGACCAGCAACAGGAACAGCAACAGGAACAGCAACAGTTAGCAACAGGAGCAGCAACAGGAGCAGCAACAGGAGGGTGACTACAGCTGAATGAGATTATTGCCTTGAGGCTAAATTCGTTTCTTCAGTCCGTAAATTACTGGTGAATGGACGAATGACCTCCCAGCTCTCTCTCCTCTCCCAGCTCTCTCTCCTCTCCCAGCTCTCTCTCCTCTCCCAGCTCTCTCTCCTCTCCCAGCTCTCTCTCCTCTCCCAGCACTCTCTCCTCTCCCAGGACTCTCTCCTCTCCCAGGACTCTCTCCTCTCCCAGCACTCTCTCCTCTCCCAGCACTCTCTCCTCTCCCAGCACTCTCTCCTCTCCCAGGACTCTCTCCTCTCCCAGCACTCTCTCCTCTCCCAGGACTCTCTCCTCTCCCAGCACTCTCTCCTCTCCCAGGACTCTCTCCTCTCCCAGCTCTCTCTCCTCTCCCAGCTCTCTCTCCTCTCCCAGCTCTCTCTCCTCTCCCAGGGCACTCTCCCCTCTCCCAGCACTCTCTCCTCTCCCAGCTCTCTCTCCTCTCCCAGCTCTCTCTCCTCTCCCAGCTCTCTCTCCTCTCCCAGGACTCTCTCCTCTCCCAGCTCTCTCTCCTCTCCCAGCTCTCTCTCCTCTCCCAGCTCTCTCTCCTCTCCCAGCTCTCTCTCCTCTCCCAGCACTCTCTCCTCTCCCAGCACTCTCTCCTCTCCCAGCTCTCTCTCCTCTCCCAGCACTCTCTCCTCTCCCAGCTCTCTCTCCTCTCCCAGCACTCTCCCCTCTCCCAGCACTCTCTCCTCTCCCAGCACTCTCTCCTCTCCCAGCACTCTCTCCTCTCCCAGCTCTCTCTCCTCTCCCAGCTCTCTCTCCTCTCCCAGCTCTCTCTCCTCTCCCAGCTCTCTCTCCTCTCCCAGCTCTCTCTCCTCTCCCAGCACTCTCTCCTCTCCCAGCACTCTCTCCTCTCCCAGCTCTCTCTCCTCTCCCAGCACTCTCTCCTCTCCCAGCTCTCTCTCCTCTCCCAGCACTCTCCCCTCTCCCAGCATTCTCTCCTCTCCCAGCTCTCTCTCCTCTCCCAGCTCTCTTTCCTCTCCCAGGACTCTCTCCTCTCCCAGCACTCTTTTTCCTTCTCCCAGCACTCTCTCCTCTCCCAGCACTCTCTCCTCTCCCAGCACTCTCCCCTCTCCCAGCACTCTCCCCTCTCCCAGCACTCTCTCCTCTCCCAGCACTCTCTCCTCTCCCAGCACTCTCTCCTCTCCCAGCACTCTTTTTCCTTCTCCCAGCACTCTCTCCTCTCCCAGCACTCTCTCCTCTCCCAGCACTCTCTAATCTCCCAGCACTCTCTCCTCTCCCAGCACTCTCTCCTCTCCCAGCACTCTCCCCTCTCCCAGCACTCTCCCCTCTCCCAGCACTCTCTCCTCTCCCAGCACTCTCTCCTATCCCAGCACTCTCCCCTCTCCCAGCACTCTCCCCTCTCCCAGCACTCTCTCTTCTCCCAGCACTCTCCCCTCTCCCAGCACTCTCTCCTCTCCCAGCACTCTCTCCTCTCCCAGCACTCTCTCCTCTCCCAGCACTCTCTCCTCTCCCAGCACTCTTCCCTCTCCCAGCACTCTTTCCTCTCTCCTAGCACTCTCTCCTCTCCCAGCACTCTCTCCTCTCTCAGCACTCTCCCCTCTCCCAGCACTCTTCCCTCTCCCAGCACTCTCTCCTCTCCCAGCACTCTCTCCTCTCCCAGCACTCTTCCCTCTCCCAATACTCTCTCCTCTCTCCCAGCACTCTCTCCTCTCCCAGCACTCTCTCCTCTCCCAGCACTCTCCCCTCTCCCAGCACTCTCCCCTCTCCCAGCACTCTCTCCTCTCCCAGCACTCTCCCCTCCCCCAGCTCTCTCTCCTCTCCCAGCTCTCTCTCCTCTCCCAGCACTCTCTCCTCTCCCAGCACTCTCTCCTCTCCCAGCACTCTCTCCTCTCCCAGCACTCTTCCCTCTCCCAGCACTCTCCCCTCTCCCAGCACTCTCTCCTCTCCCAGCGCTCTCTCCTCTCTCCTAGCACTCTCTCCTCTCCCAGCACTCTCTCCTCTCCCAGCACTCTCTCCTCTCCCAGCACTCTTCCCTCTCCCAGCACTCTCTCCTCTCTCCTAGCACACTCTCCTCTCCCAGCACTCTTCCCTCTCCCAGCACTCTCCCCTCTCCCAGCACTCTTCCCTCTCCCAGCACTCTCTCCTCTCCCAGCACTCTCTCCTCTCCCAGCACTCTTCCCTCTCCCAGCACTCTCTCCTCTCTCCCAGCACTCTCTCCTCTCCCAGCACTCTCTCCTCTCCCAGCACTCTCCCCTCTCCCAGCACTCTTCCCTCTCCCAGCACTCTCTCCTCTCCCAGCACTCTCTCCTCTCCCAGCACTCTCCCCTCTCCCAGCACTCTCCCCTCTCCCAGCACTCTTCCCTCTCCCAGCACTCTCTCCTCTCCCAGCACTCTCCCAACACTCTCTCCTCTCCCAGCACTCTCCCCTCTCCCAGCACTCTCTTCTCTCCTAGCACTCTCTCCTCTCCTGGCCTGCCCTTGAAACACTCCATGTCTGGCCTGCCCTTGAAACACTCCATGTCTGGCCTGCCCTTGAAACACTCCGTGTCTGGCCTGTCCTTGAAACACTCCGTGTCTGGCCTACCCTTGAAACACTCCGTGTCTGGCCTACCCTTGAAACACTCCATGTCTGGCCTGCCCTTGAAACACTCCATGTCTGGCCTGCCCTTGAAACACTCCATGTCTGGCCTGCCCTTGAAACACTCCGTGTCTGGCCTACCCTTGAAACACTCCGTGTCTGGCCTACCCTTGAAACACTCCTTGTCTGGCCTACCCTTGAAACACTCCGTGTCTGGCCTGCCCTTGAAACACTCCGTGTCTGGCCTACCCTTGAAACACTCCGTGTCTGGCCTACCCTTGAAACACTCCGTGTCTGGCCTACCCTTGAAACACTCCGTGTCTGGCCTACCCTTGAAACACTCCGTGTCTGGCCTGCCCTTGAAACACTCCTTGTCTGGCCTGCCCGTATATAACGAGTCAGAACAACAGGGTACACTAAGTGGTCTACCCTATCACTCACTGTGTATACTCTGGGGAGTATACTATCGTCCCGGACTATGTTCAGGGCTAGAGTATACTTCAGCAAGCTAGTGGTGTCGAACCCTGAGCTAGTTGGTAGGCCTTAACTCCCACACAAAACCAGTCCAGGAATTTCTTCTCGCAGTTAGTGAGAGTGGCGGCCCGTGAGGGAGAGCAGCTGGTGAGAGAGGCGGCCCGTGAGGGAGAGCAGCTGGTGAGAGTGGCGGCCCGTGAGGGAGAGCAGCTGGTGAGAGTGGTGGCCCGTGAGGGAGAGCAGCTGGTGAGAGTGGTGGCCCGTGAGGGAGAGCAGCTGGTGAGAGTGGCGGCCCGTGAGGGAGAGCAGCTGGTGAGAGTGGCGGCCCGTGAGGGAGAGCAGCTGGTGAGAGTGGCGGCCCGTGAGGGAGAGCAGCTGGTGAGAGTGGCGGCCCGTGAGGGAGAGCAGCTGGTGAGAGTGGCGGCCCATGAGGGAGAGCAGCTGGTGAGAGTGGCGGCCCGTGAGGGAGAGCAGTTAGTGAGAGTGGCGGCCCGTGAGGGAGAGCAGCTGGTGAGAGTGGCGGCCCGTGAGGGAGAGCAGCTGGTGAGAGTGGCGGCCCGTGAGGGAGAGCAGCTGGTGAGAGTGGCGGCCCATGAGGGAGAGCAGCTGGTGAGAGTGGCGGCCCGTGAGGGAGAGCAGCTGGTGAGAGTGGCGGCCCGTGAGGGAGAGCAGCTGGTGAGAGTGGCGGCCCGTGAGGGAGAGCAGCTGGTGAGAGTGGCGGCCCGTGAGGGAGAGCAGCTGGTGAGAGTGGCGGCCCATGAGGGAGAGCAGCTGGTGAGAGTGGCGGCCCGTGAGGGAGAGCAGCTGGTGAGAGTGGCGGCCCGTGAGGGAGAGCAGCTGGTGAGAGTGGCGGCCCATGAGGGAGAGCAGCTGGTGAGAGTGGCGGCCCGTGAGGGAGAGCAGCTGGTGAGAGTGGCGGCCCGTGAGGGAGAGCAGCTGGTGAGAGGGTACCAGCAGGTGGCCCCCACACTCCTCCCCCCCCCCCCCACGGCCGCCCCCCGGGGGTCCACCACGCCCCCCGCCGCCCACACCATTGGGGATGTGTTGTTGGGCGGTAATCGTCAGTAAAGATCTTTCCGTTACTTGTTATTGAATTTGTTGTGATTATTAGTATGAGGTAAAGCTGGTGGCGGAGATGGAGAGTGGGTGGGGAGGGGGTCTGAGCGGGTGGGGAGGGGGTCTGAGCGGGTGGGGAGGGGGTCTGAACGGGTGGGGAGGCGGGTCTGAGCGGGTGGGGATGGGGTCTGAACGGGTGGGGTGGGGCCAGAGCGAGTAAGTAAGTAATTATCAATAGAAGGCACCAAGCCGGGAAGGCTATGTAGCACCATCAAATGTGCAGGATAACCAGAGGGCGCTAAATATCACCAAGGATGCCAATACGAGAACAAAAACGCATAACGCGAACGATATCAAAAGTATCCGAGTCACCAAGAATACTATCGAGGGACAGGCGACCGTGGGGGGGGGGGGCGGGACACAAGACACACGCTCGTCCTGGAAGTCAGGACATTCAAGAAGGATATACACGACCGTAAGAGGGACAATACTGTTTGGACAATAAGGAGCAGGGCGGCGCTCCTTCAAGTGACCATGAGTTAAGCGCGTATTGCCGATACGCAACCTTGCCAGAGCCGTTTCCCACCGCCCGGTTACGGTGGCAGGAGGAAGGCCACGGGGACACATGACTCTTAAGAGTACACAGTTTGTTGCCAGTTACACATGAACAACAAGCCTGCCGACGGGTAAGGATGGAGGAATGAATAACTGGGTAAAAGTCGGAATAAGGAATACCTTTACGGGAGATGGGACAAGTGCGGATAGCTTCTCTAGCGGCAGCATCCGCACGCTTATCTGCTGGAGATAAGAAACAGCCAATGTTGAATCTCGACGACCACCGGATGGACCAGACTAAAGGACCCGAGAGCCATGAGAGCACTACGAGAGTCAACTACAGCCACAAAGGAGGATTGACAACGAGAAAACAGGAGACGAAGAACATAGAGAATAGCATAAAGTTCCGCTGTGAAGATGCTAGTCTCCGGAGGGAGGCGACACATATGTGTGGTCAGGGAAAACAACAAAGTAGCCCACACCGTCCGCAGACTTAGACCCATGGTGAAGATGGGAACGGAGCGGGAGTGTGAAGACAAGTGCTCAAGGAAAAAGTGTTTCAGAACTGTAGGAGAGGTAAAAGCTTTAGTGATGTGAGTCCGGGATTTGCAATATTGAGGAGGGGGGGACCCTCCACGGGGGCGAGTATGGGAGCAACACGAGGAGAAATATTAGTAATACTAACTGAAAGAGAGTGTTGCAGGCGAGACAACCAGACAGAAAGAGGGAGGTGGTGAAGGGGAACAGGAACTACAGGAAGGGTAAAGGTCAAGGCACGACAGAGGCGAGAGTGAGGGTGCTGTAAGGACCGCATAAGGTAGTGAAGACAGTAGCGATCTCGGCGGTCCTGGAGAGACAGGAAGCCAGTGTCAACACACAAGCTGAGGGCGGGAGTCGAACGAAAGGCACCAGAGCTGAGGCGCCACCCAGCATGGTGTACAGCATCAAGACGGCGAAGAGTAGAAGGAGAAGCAGAGTACGAACACGGGCTCCAGGAGAGGAGGGCTCCAGGAGAGGAGGGCTCCAGGAGAGGAGGGCTCCAGGAGAGGAGGGCTCCAGGAGAGAAGGGCTCCAGGAGAGGAGGGCTCCAGGAGAGGAGGGCTCCAGGAGAGAAGGGCTCCAGGAGAGGAGGGCTCCAGGAGAGGAGGGCTCCAGGAGAGGAGGGCTCCAGGAGTGGAGGGCTCCAGGAGAGGAGGGCTCCAGGAGAGGAGGGCTCCAGGAGAGGAGGGCTCCAGGAGTGGAGGGCTCCAGGAGAGGAGGGCTCCAGGAGAGGAGGGCTCCAGGAGAGGAGGACTCCAGGAGAGGAGGGCTCCAGGAGAGAAGGGCTCCAGGAGAGGAGGACTCCAGGAGAGAAGGGCTCCAGGAGAGGAGGGCTCCAGGAGAGGAGGGCTCCAGGAGAGAAAGGCTCCAGGAGAGGAGGACTCCAGGAGAGAAGGGCTCCAGGAGAGAAGGGCTCCAGGAGAGAAGGGCTCCAGGAGAGGAGGGCTCCAGGAGAGAAGGGCTCCAGGAGAGGAGGGCTCCAGGAGAGGAGGACTCCAGGAGAGAAGGGCTCCAGGAGAGGAGGGCTCCAGGAGAGAAGGGCTCCAGGAGAGGAGGGCTCCAGGAGAGAAGGGCTCCAGGAGAGGAGGGCTCCAGGAGAGGAGGACTCCAGGAGAGAAGGGCTCCAGGAGAGAAGGGCTCCAGGAGAGGAGGGCTCCAGGAGAGGAGGGCTCCAGGAGAGAAGGGTTCCAGGAGAGGAGGGCTCCAGGAGAGGAGGGCTCCAGGAGAGAAGGGCTCCAGGAGAGGAGGGCTCCAGGAGAGGAGGGCTCCAGGAGAGGAGGGCTCCAGGAGAGGAGGGCTCCAGGAGAGAACGGCTCCAGGAGAGGAGGGCTCCAGGAGAGGAGGGCTCCAGGAGAGGAGGGCTCCAGGAGAGGAGGACTCCAGGAGAGGAGGGCTCCAGGAGAGAAGGGCTCCAGGAGAGGAGGACTCCAGGAGAAAAGGGCTCCAGGAGAGGAGGGCTCCAGGAGAGAAGGGCTCCAGGAGAGGAGGGCTCCAGGAGAGGAGGGCTCCAGGAGAGAAAGGCTCCAGGAGAGGAGGACTCCAGGAGAGAAGGGCTCCAGGAGAGAAGGGCTCCAGGAGAGAAGGGTTCCAGGAGAGGAGGGCTCCAGGAGAGAAGGGCTCCAGGAGAGGAGGGCTCCAGGAGAGGAGGACTCCAGGAGAGAAGGGCTCCAGGAGAGGAGGGCTCCAGGAGAGAAGGGCTCCAGGAGAGGAGGGCTCTAGGAGAGAAGGGCTCCAGGAGAGGAGGGCTCCAGGAGAGGAGGACTCCAGGAGAGGAGGGCTCCAGGAGAGGAGGGCTCCAGGAGAGAAGGGCTCCAGGAGAGAAGGGCTCCAGGAGAGAAGGGCTCCAGGAGAGAAGGGCTCCAGGAGAGGAGGGCTCCAGGAGAGAAGGGCTCCAGGAGAGGAGGGCTCCAGGAGAGGAGGGCTCCAGGAGAGAAGGGCTCCAGGAGAGGAGGGCTCCAGGAGAGGAGGGCTCCAGGAGAGGAGGGCTCCAGGAGAGGAGGGCTCCAGGAGAGGAGGACTCCAGGAGAGAAGGGCTCCAGGAGAGAAGGGCTCCAGGAGAGGAGGGCTCCAGGAGAGGAGGGCTCCAGGAGAGGAGGGCTCCAGGAGAGGAGGGCTCCAGGAGAGGAGGGCTCCAGGAGAGGAGGACTCCAGGAGAGGAGGGCTCCAGGAGAGGAGGGCTCCAGGAGAGGAGGGCTCCAGGAGAGGAGGGCTCCAGGAGAGGAGGGCTCCAGGAGAGGAGGGCTCCAGGAGAGGAGGACTCCAGGAGAGGAGGGCTCCAGGAGAGGAGGACTCCAGGAGAGGAGGACTCCAGGAGAGGAGGGCTCCAGGAGAGGAGGGCTCCAGGAGAGGAGGACTCCAGGAGAGGAGGGCTCCAGGAGAGGAGGACTCCAGGAGAGGAGGGCTCCAGGAGAGGAGGGCTCCAGGAGAGGAGGGCTCCAGGAGAGGAGGGCTCCAGGAGAGGAGGACTCCAGGAGAGGAGGACTCCAGGAGAGGAGGGCTCCAGGAGAGGAGGGCTCCAGGAGAGGAGGGCTCCAGGAGAGGAGGGCTCCAGGAGAGGAGGGCTCCAGGAGAGGAGGGCTCCAGGAGAGGAGGGCTCCAGGAGAGGAGGGCTCCAGGAGAGGAGGGCTCCAGGAGAGGAGGGCTCCAGGAGAGGAGGGCTCCAGGAGAGGAGGGCTCCAGGAGAGGAGGACTCCAGGAGAGGAGGGCTCCAGGAGAGGAGGGCTCCAGGAGAGGAGGACTCCAGGAGAGGAGGGCTCCAGGAGAGGAGGGCTCCAGGAGAGGAGGGCTCCAGGAGAGGAGGGCTCCAGGAGAGGAGGGCTCCAGGAAAGGAGGGCTCCAGGAGAGGAGGACTCCAGGAGAGGAGGGCTCCAGGAGAGGAGGGCTCCAGGAGAGGAGGGCTCCAGGAGAGGAGGGCTCCAGGAGAGGAGGACTCCAGGAGAGGAGGGCTCCAGGAGAGGAGGGCTCCAGGAGGTGTTAGGGCGGGAGAGTGTTGAGACACAGTAGCATCGTTAACGACATCAGAGGACAACTCACGCCTCGTTTGTGGTGCCGTCTGACTACCTCTTCTCCGCCCGCGTTAAAGGGTAATTTAATGAGTGGTTGGGAGAGACTCGTCCCGCAGCAGCGGATTGCCATCAGCCTCTAGCACAAAGAGTTGATTGGTGGTTTGTTGTGGTGGGCCGTGTGCGCTTCCCCGCGCTCACTTGGCCGCCATTGTCAGCCTCACCCGCGGCTTTGTTGTCCTCTGTCAGTCCCGCCACCAGGCTACCCCACGCCCCTCACCCCTCCCCGCCACACCTGCCCCCCTCCCTCGCCCCTCACACCCCAGCCTGCCCCCTCCCTCACCCCTCACACCCCAGCCTGCCCCCCTCCCTCGTCCCTCACACCCCAGCCTGCCCCCTCCCTCACCCCTAACACCCCAGCCTGCCCCCTCCCTCACCCCTCACACACCAGCCTGCCCCCTCCCTCACCCCTCTCCCCCACCCCTCTCCCCCAGCCACAAAATATACTAATATTAAAACGCACGACCCAGCAGCAAGGAATCAAGCCTTCACGATAAAATATCGCCAGGATCTGATTCGTGATCAGATATACAAGGCAGAGAATGAAATCAAAGACAACAAAACGCAACTACTTCATGCTACAAACGAATGGAGAAATAGCAACATCGACGAAAGTCTCCGTACCCGCATTGAACAACACCTCGACATCCTCACAGACTGACATCACCTCAGCACTGAAACAAGGATTATCAAGAAACTAACAACGTTATATGGAGGACCTATGGCAATTCCAC